AGTCTATCAGTCTATAGTATATAGTCTAGTCTATAGTCTGTCTATAGTCTAGTTATAGTCTCGTCTATAGTCTAGTCTATAGTCTGTCTATAGTCTGTCTATAGTTAGTGCTAGTCTAGTGCTATAGGGTCTAGTCTATCGTCTAGTCTATATGTCTAGTCTATAGTCTAGTCTATAGTCTAGTTATCGTCTAGTATATAATCTAGTCTAAGTCTAGGTCTATAGTCTAGTCTAAGGTCTAGTCTATAGTCTAGTCTATAGTCTAGTATAAGTCTAGTCTATAGTCAGTCTATAGGTCTAGTCTATAGTCCTAGTCTATAGTCTAGTCTATAGTCTAGTCTATAGTCCAGTCTATAGTTAGCTATAGTCAGTCTATGTCAGTCTTAGTCTAGTCATAATCTAGTCTATAGTCTAGTCTATAGTTCTTGGTCTATAAGTCTAGTCTATAGTCTAGTCATTAGGTTCTAGGTACTATAGTCTAGTCTATAGTCTAGTCATATGTCTAGTCATAGTCTCGTCTAGTCAGTCATAGTCTAGTCATAGCTTAGTCATAGTCTAGTCATAGTCTATCATAGGCTAGTCATAGTCTAGTCATAGTCTAGTCATAGTCTAGTCATAGTCTAGTCTAGTCATAGTCTAGTCATAGTCTAGTCATAGTCTAGTCATAGTCATAGTCTAGTCATAGTCTAGTCATAGTCTAGTCATAGTCTAGTCATAGTCTAGTCATAGTCTAGTCATAGTCTAGTCATAGTCTAGTCATAGTCTAGTCATAGTCTAGTCATAGTCTAGTCACAGTCTAGTTATATTCTAGTCGTAGTTTAGTCAATTGTCTGGTCCATGGCATAGTCCATAATATTGTATAAAATATCGCTGTATATTCTATTCATAGTTTAGTTTCAGTCCAGTTCATAAAAGTGTTTCTTGTGTAAGTCATGACGAACATATGAGGTTTATAGAAATACACTTCATTCATATTTAAAATATTCGTTTTAAAAGATATTTCTTATAAGATTTAAAAAATAAATAAGGCCAAAAATACTATAAATGAGAAAGTTCCAACAACATGACGTTAATATTGGCAATATATTTGCTACCGGAAGCTTTTTGTTTGTTCCTCATTTTTTAGGTTAAACTGTGTTGATAGTCAAAATTGCACCAATTTAATTTTGTTTTTTTTTCCTAGATACTCCGGATAAGTATTCGTTGGTTAGAGTTGACTTCATTTATTGATTGCACTCCAAAAATATATGTATACACTTAAGTTCATGTGTATGTGTGTGTGTGTGTGAATGTTTATCTGTATATAAATATCAAGTAGACCAAAATATGAACACGAACATGAAAACAGAGATACACATACAAACACACACACATACATACGCTATTTGGCTTGATGCATTATGATACATTGTCGCAGTTTGGTTTTATGGTTTGTTGGATTTTATATCTACCATTTATATACTTATACACACACATTTTTTGGATGTTACCAGTTTTTTTTGTTTTTGTTTTTTTTTTTTGTCAAACTCAATGACCACATAAGAGTAGTCAAAATTTCATTTTCCTATGGTTTATAGAGATGTCATCGATGTGTGATGTTGTACACACTTAGATGCAAACATTCAAATGAAGTTACCCCCTGAAATAGAAAAAAATAAATGTATTCAAAAAGGAATGTGTGCTGGTTATTACCCTTGAGCAAAAATCAGCAAAAAATATAGAAAAATTATTTGAAATTGAAATCATAATGTTTGGGTCATACTGCTGCATACATGAATAATAATTTCAATTTAACACAAAAAATTAAAACTGACCTTATAGGATATTCTGGGTTTTTTTAGTTGGCACATTGAAAAAGAGAAAATTAGTTTTTGGTAGCAATTTTTTTTGTTAAAAACTATTTAATTGTACTTAATTGATGAAAAATTGTGAAAAGATATTTTGACATAATGTTGAACTTAATAACATTCTGAAAGATTGATATATTTTGATACAACAAGGTTTGCAGTGATGTTACTAGTTCAGTTCAAGAGAAATATTCTCTTTAAGCCACCACAGGTATTTGCATCTTGCACAATCGGGGTCTACATGCGTCTCAGCATACATCTGGCGTTACTAAGTGAATTTCACTATCAAAAAAGGTCTTCTGAAAAGTACAATCCTGACGTTGATTTAGTGTTTTTAACGATCACTAGCTGACTCTTAGCTTACAGAGAGAGCGAGAGAGAAAATGTTCAATGAAATTAGGTACGAGAACTTCTACTTATCAGTTTAATGTTAATTATGTTGGGGTGTTTAGAAGAAAAAAACTGATAAGAACTATTAAAGAATTTCGTGAGATTTAATTATTATTAGTTTTTGTACAAAACAAAACAATAATTTAAATAAAAAACTCAGCCTAATTCAAGAGATAACATGCAGCGTACTTTTTGAAGACTGTGTCATATATGAGTTGACACTTTTTTGGAGTGGAGAATTTAAGACAAATGCTAGCCCATAAAGCAAGGTTCAACTAAAATATAAATAAAAATTAAGAATGCGTAGCATAATTGACTAAGTGGAATATTTCATACCCTACACTTCAATAGTTTTAAACAATAGTCAGCTACGTCCATATTCTAGTCAATAGTCAACTCAATTACCTAGTCCTTAACCAATAGTCCAGTAATTAGCCTAGATAGTAGTCCATTAAGTAGTCTGGTCAATAGTTAAGTCAATATTACAGTTAATATTCTCGTTATTATCCTACCCAATAGTCTAATCAATAGCACAGTCAATATTCTATGCAAGACACTAGTCAATAGTGTAGTCAATAGCATAATCAATAATCTGTTCAAAAGTCAAGTTAAGTAGTAGTAAAGTCAATAAACTATTCAATAAACCACTCAATATTTAAGCCAGTAGACTTGTTGAGAGTTTAGTCAATAGTGTAGTCAATAGTCTAATCTATTTGACTACAATGTCTAATCAATAGCGTAGTCAATATGCAATTTAATTGTCTTGCCAGTAGCCTAGTCAATAGTGAGACCAATGGTATAGTAAATAGTACAGTTAATAGTATACTCAAAAAGCTCTAATGAACTAGTCACTGCTCTAGTCAATAGCTTAGTCAAAAGTCAATAGTCAATTCAAAAGTGTGGACAAAGTAAAGTTGTCAATGTTTTAGTCAATAGACATATCAATATTCTACTGAATAGTTTTATCAATAGTTTAGTCAATAGCCTAGTCAATAGTCTAGTCAATAGTTAAGTCAATTGTCTAGTCAATAGACTAGCCAATAGTCTAATCAATTGTCTAGCCAATAGTCAAGTGAATAGTCTAGTTAGTAGTCAAGTGAATAGTCTAGTCAGTAGTCTAGGCAATAGTCTAGTCATAGTCTAGGCAATAGTCTAGTCATAGTCTAGTCATAGTCTAGTCATAGTCTAGTCATAGTCTAGTCATAGTCTAGTCATAGTCTAGTCATAGTCTAGTCATAGTCTAGTCATAGTCTAGTCATAGTCTAGTCATAGTCTAGTCATAGTCTAGTCATAGTCTAGTCATAGTCTAGTCATAGTCTAGTCATAGTCTAGTCATAGTCTAGTCATAGTCTAGTCATAGTCTAGTCATAGTCTAGTCATAGTCTAGTCATAGTCTAGTCATAGTCTAGTCATAGTCTAGTCATAGTCTAGTCATAGTCTAGTCATAGTCTAGTCATAGTCTAGTCATAGTCTAGTCATAGTCTAGTCATAGTCTAGTCATAGTCTAGTCATAGTCTAGTCATAGTCTAGTCATAGTCTAGTCATAGTCTAGTCATAGTCTAGTCATAGTCTAGTCATAGTCTAGTCATAGTCTAGTCATAGTCTAGTCATAGTCTAGTCATAGTCTAGTCATAGTCTAGTCATAGTCTAGTCATAGTCTAGTCATAGTCTAGTCATAGTCTAGTCATAGTCTAGTCATAGTCTAGTCATAGTCTAGTCATAGTCTAGTCATAGTCTAGTCATAGTCTAGTCATAGTCTAGTCATAGTCTAGTCATAGTCTAGTCATAGTCTAGTCATAGTCTAGTCATAGTCTAGTCATAGTCTAGTCATAGTCTAGTCATAGTCTAGTCATAGTCTAGTCATAGACTAGTCATAGTCTAGTCATAGTCTAGCCATAGTCTAGTCATAGTCTAGTCATAGTCTAGTCATAGTCTAGTCATAGTCTAGTCATAGTCTAGCCATAGTCTAGTCATAGTCTAGTCATAGTCTAGTCATAGTCTAGTCATAGTCTAGTCATAGTCTAGTCATAGTCTAGTCATAGTCTAGTCATAGTCTAGTCATAGTCTAGTCATAGTCTAGTCATAGTCTAGTCATAGTCTAGTCATAGTCTAGTCATAGTCTAGTCATAGTCTAGTCATAGTCTAGTCATAGTCTAGTCATAGTCTAGTCATAGTCTAGTCATAGTCTAGTCATAGTCTAGTCATAGTCTAGTCATAGTCTAGTCATAGTCTAGTCATAGTCTAGTCATAGTCTAGTCATAGTCTAGTCATAGTCTAGTCATAGTCTAGTCATAGTCTGGTCATAGTCTAGTCATAGTCTAGTCATAGTCTAGTCATAGTCTAGTCATAGTCTAGTCATAGTCTAGTCATAGTCTAGTCATAGTCTAGTCATAGTCTAGTCATAGTCTAGTCATAGTCTAGTCATAGTCTTCGTCATAGTCTAGTCATAGTCTAGTCATAGTCTAGTCCATAGTCTAGTCATAGTAGTCATAGTCTAGTCATAGTCTAGTCATAGTCTAGTCATAGTCTAGTCATAGTCTAGTCATAGTCTAGTCATAGTCAGTCATAGTCTCATAGTCTAGTCTAGTCAAAACACCTTGATGTAGGGTATTTAGAGAGGAAAACTGCTAGCATAAGTTCTCAGATAACAATTGCAGTCAATTGGACATCCACTAGCATTGATAAGTTTTATTTTTATTGTCATTACTTTTACTTGTTTTCTTTTTTGCAAAAGAATCTTAAGAATGACTTAAAACTTTTTAGATCTGAAAGCAACGCAGCAGTTCAAAACAGGACGTCAATTAAATCAGTTGTTTTATACAAAAGTATTTAAACGAACAGAGAAAGAAGAAACTAAAAGAAATGTTAGAAAACACAGAAATCGATTCCAGTCTGGTACCCTCTCTTAAACCAGCCAGCAGCTATCATTCCTGTTCCCTGCACGAGCCTGTGAAAATAAGAACAACTACGGAAAATTTAGCCGAGTGTAATATAAAGACCATACCCCAGTTCTTTAAAGAATGTTGTCAAAAATTCAAAGATGTACCGGCTTTGGCGTATAAAGTGCCAAAAGACAACTCTACTAGCAGCAATGGCAGCGAAGATGAACAATGGGAAACCATTACTTATGGTGAATATGAGCAACGTGTGGAACAGGCTGCTTTAATGCTATTACACTTGGGTGTCCAGCCACGTTCTTCCATTGGCATTTTGGCCTTTAATTGTCCCGAATGGTTTTATGCGGAAATGGGCGCTTTGCGTATTAATGCTGTGGTGGCTGGCATTTATACTAGCAACTCAGCGGAAGCTGTTCATCATGTCTTGGAAGCATCAGAGGCCAGTGTATGTATAGTGGATGATGCTCATCAAATGTCAAAAGTGCGTGCGGTTAAATCGCGTTTTAAATCAATTGCGTGCCGTGGTTCAATTAAATGGTCCCTACGATGAGTTCGTTGGCAACGAGCCGGGCTATTATCGTTGGACGGATTTGTTTGAAATGCAATTTAGTTCAACACTACGTGAAGAATTGGTGTTGCGTGAACGTGATGTGGCGGCCAATGAATGTGCACTATTAATATTTACGGTAAGTTCGTTATTCATTCGTTCCTTCGTTCAATCGTTTGAACGGAAGTTTGGTTTATTGCTTGATTATTTAAGAGTGTGTTTTTATTCGGAATGGGTGTTTAAGGGGAGGCTCTATTATTAGTAGCTGAAATTGGAAAATTGTTAAGTTAACTGAATTATGATTGCGCTGCCTGGTTCCTTGTCTGTTTGTCTTGTAGCTGTAGGTGGTTTAGTTGTGGTAATGGTTTGTTGGTTTATTAAAGTTATAAATCAAGTTATAATTTATGTAGTGTTGTTGTTGCTCGGTGAGTGTGTGTGTGTGTGCTTTGTTTATTTAGTTGTAATCAAACTAATTTGGTTTTGAAGGATCTTCTTATAAGACGTCAATGACCGTTGATAGCAGAATATTTAATAATGGCCATAATTTGTGAGAACAAGTGTATATAATTTAAATAAAAATTGCATGTGATTTAATACCGTGTGAAGTTCAATAGTTCTGTTGTTATATAATTAACTCAAACAGTTGTTAGTTATTGGAAATAATTTGAGAAAATCATACAAACAATGATTGTTTATCTGTCTGTCCTAATAATTTTATTAAGGAAATGTTGTATATATGTACTTGTTATCGAAAGGGAACTTTACTATTTCAGTTATAGTTCAGCTTTTGTTCAGTTCTAATTCAGTTCTAGTTCAGTTCTAGTTCAGTAGTTCTAGTTCAGTTCTAGTTCAGTTCTAGTTCAGTTCTAGTTCAGTTCTAGTTCAGTTCTAGTTCAGTTCTAGTTCAGTTCTAGTTCAGTTTCGTTCTAGTTCAGTTTCTAGTTCAGTTCTAGTTCAGTTCTAGTTCAGTTCTAGTTCGTCTAGTTCAGTTCTAGTTCAGTTCTAGTTCAGTTCTAGTTCAGTTCTAGTTCAGTTCTAGTTCAGTTCTAGTTCAGTTCTAGTTCAGTTCTAGTTCAGTTCTAGTTCAGTTCTAGTTCAGTTCAGTTCTAGTTCAGTTCTAGTTCAGTTCTAGTTCAGTTCTAGTTCAGTTCTAGTTCAGTTCTAGTCAGTTCTAGTTCAGTTCTAGTTCAGTTCTAGTTCAGTTCTAGTTCAGTTCTAGTTCAGTTCTAGTTCAGTTCTAGTTCAGTTCTAGTTCAGTTCTAGTTCAGTTCTAGTTCAGTTCTAGTTCAGTTCTAGTTCAGTTCTAGTTCAGTTCTAGTTCAGTTCTATTCAGTTCTATTCAGTTCTAGTTCAGTTCTATTCAGTTCTAGTTCAGTTCTAGTTCAGTTCTAGTTCAGTTCTAGTTCAGTTCTAGTTCAGTTCTAGTTCAGTTCTAGTTCAGTTCTAGTTCAGTTCTAGTTCAGTTCTAGTTCAGTTCTAGTTCAGTTCTAGTTCAGTTCTAGTTCAGTTCTAGTTCAGTTCTAGTTCAGTTCTAGTTCAGTTCTAGTTCAGTTCTAGGTCAGTTCTAGTTCAGTTCTAGTTCAGTTCTAGTTCAGTTCTAGTTCTAGTTCAGTTCTAGTTCAGTTCTAGTTCAGTTCTAGTTCAGTTCTAGTTCAGTTCTAGTTCAGTTCTAGTTCAGTTCTAGTTCAGTTCTAGTTCAGTTCTAGTTCAGTTCTAGTTCAGTTCTAGTTCAGTTCTAGTTCAGTTCTAGTTCAGTTCTAGTTCAGTTCTAGTTCAGTTCTAGTTCAGTTCTAGTTCAGTTCTAGTTCAGTTTCTAGTTCAGTTCTAGTTCAGTTCTAGTTCAGTTCTAGTTCAGTTCTAGTTCAGTTCTAGTTCAGTTCTAGTTCAGTTCTAGTTCAGTTCTAGTTCAGTTCTAGTTCAGTTCTAGTTCAGTTCTAGTTCAGTTCTAGTTCAGTTCTAGTTCAGTTCTAGTTCAGTTCTAGTTCAGTTCTAGTTCAGTTCTAGTTCAGTTCTAGTTTCAGTTCTAGTTCAGTTCTAGTTCAGTTCTAGTTCAGTTCTAGTTCTAGTTCAGTTCTAAGTCAGTTCTAGTTCAGTTCTAGTTCAGTTCTAGTTCAGTTCTAGTTTAGTTCTAGTTCAGTTCTAGTTCAGTTCTAGTTCAGTTCTAGTTCAGTTCTAGTTCAGTTCTAGTTCAGTTCTAGTTCAGTTCTAGTTCAGTTCTAGTTCAGTTCTAGTTCAGTTCTAGTTCAGTTCTAGTTCAGTTCTAGTTCAGTTCTAGTTCAGTTCTAGTTCAGTTCTAGTTCAGTTCTAGTTCAGTTCTAGTTCAGTTCTAGTTAAGTTCTAGTTCAGTTCTAGTTCAGTTCTAGTTCAGTTCTAGTTCAGTTCTAGTTCAGTTCTAGTTCAGTTCTAGTTCACTGAATATGGAATTGATGGCGCCATAAACCTGCTGGTGGTTCTTTAAGTTCCGGCACGTCTCAAAATATTTAATATCAATTCAAAATAAGCAAAATTCTCAGATAACTTATGGCCCCACAGTATGCACATGCATAAGAGATAAGCTGTTAAGTTCATGTTGACAATCTTAAACAAAATAAAACAAAAAATTTGTTTAAGAATAAAACTTATATATTTATTTTTTCCAGTCCGGTACCGTGGGCATGCCCAAAGGTGTTATGATCTCACACGATGGAGTACTATTCTGTTGTCATGCTATGGGCAAAATGATGACTTCCCTGGAGGAAGCAAAAGAAACCGTGGTCACCTATTTACCTCTAAACCATATAGCCGCCCAATTGTTTGATATATTCATGGCCTTGGAATATGGCGGCCTTATCTACTTTGCCGATCGTAATGCTCTCAAGGGTTCTTTAACTAAAACCTATTCCAAAGCCAAGGTCAGCATGATGTTTGGCGTACCACGAGTATTTGAAAAGATGCAAGAGAGGCTTGAATATGTGGAAGCAAACTCATCAGCTTTAACGAAAGTTTTAATGAATACCGCGCGCAGTATGATGGAAAGCTATCATTTGGCTAAAATGGAAAATAAATCAGCTTCGGGTATAAAGTATTGGTTGGCTGCAAAGGTGGTACATAAAATCAAGGTGGCTTTGGGTTTGGAAATGGCAAAGGGTTGTTTCATAGGAGGAGCACCGGTAACGGAGGAATTAAAGAAATTCTTTTTGGGTTTGGATATGCCTCTAATAGATGTATATGGCATGTCGGAGACCAGTGGCGCGGTAGTGTACAATTTTGATCGACCCAATTTGCAGACTAGTGGTAAAGCTATGGAGGGTGTAGAACTTAAAATTGATAACCCCAATGAGCAGGGAGAAGGAGAGGTAAGTTTATTACTGATTTGAAGAGAGTTATAAACTATTTTTTAAATTTAATTAAGATCTTAATGCGTGGACGCAGTAACTTTATGGGCTACTTAAAAGAACCCGAAAAAACTGCCGAAACTTTGACCGAAGATGGTTGGATTAAAAGTGGTGATTTGGGTTATATGGATGAGCAGGGCAATCTGTATGTAAGTGGACGCATTAAGGAATTGATTATAACAGCAGGCGGTGAAAATATACCACCGGCCCATATAGAAGCAGTGATAAAGAAAGAGTTGCCCTGTGTTAGCAATGTGGTGGTTATAGGAGATCATAAAAAATATTTAACGGCATTGTTGACATTTAAGGTGAGTTTGTGTTTAAAAGTAAATTAAAAATTTGGAATTCTTATATCTATATAATTCCAGGTGGATATTAATCCCGATACCGGCTATCCTTTGGATACTCTGAGGCCTGATGCCTTACAATGGTTGCAATCATTAAATCTCAACTATACCCGTCTCTCCGATATGCTTAATATCAAATTGCCCGAAGATTTACAAAACTTTGATGCCAACGCTGTAGAGATCAATTGCGATCCCAAGGTTTGGCAGGCTCTAGAGGCTGGTATTAAACGTTATAATGAACAGGCCATTTCAAATGCTCAAAAAGTTCAGTATTTCACTATATTGCCTCATGATTTCTCCATACCCACCGGTGAAGTGGGTAAGTACTATCTATGCTTAATCTTAATTTATTTTTTATTTATTTTGTTTTCTTTGTATTTCAGGTCCGACTTTGAAGATAAGAAGAAATATTGTTCATAAGAAATATGCCGAGATTATAGAGAAAATGTATGCCAAGTAATGGTGTTACTATTGTTTAATATTTTAGTTGTTGTAAAATAGAAATGAAATCGTTTTATAATAAATTATTTAGAAGAAGTTTTATATAAATCTGCCGTAAGTCCAATTATTATTTGAGTTTGAAAAGCCAAGATCAAGTTATGTTGATCGAGAGTCAAATTACACCTCGACTCACTTAGGGCATTAACCAATAGATAGACGGATGACAGATCGGTTCAAATTGGACCACCAATCCTGCCAGCTGGCTTACAATACTCTCGCTCAAAGCTTTAAGAAAAATATTAGCCAAGATCGATCCCAATAAAAGTCTTAAGCAATATGGAATAGACTTCATATTAAAAACATGTCATTAAGCAAAGAAAGCTCGAAGAATTTATCCACGTCTGACCTATCCAATCTCCTGAGCAAATCATTATCATGACACGAGCTAAAGACCGAAACTGCTTTAAGCAAAGGACTTATCTTTGGTCGGTAGTCTTCGGATCTAACTTCTAACTTCCTTGTGAGTTTGTTTATCTTACAAATAAATTAATGTAAAATAAGAAAAGTCGAATGCAAATTGATTCTGTTTTCAAAATTTATTACTGTTTCTTAAAACAAACACGATTTTATTTACGGTGAATGAACTTTTGCTAAACTTTGATTTGTTTAATTAGACAATAGATTAAAATTTTACAATTATTGTTTACGTTTTAGAGCTTAAATGATTGCTGCATAACACTGTGCTACAGATTTGGCATAAGATTCATGATATTCGTTTTAAACAAATTTGCACAGTCCAAGTTTTGTTCTAGTTCCAAGTAATTTTAAGTGTAAGATGAGAAATATCAGTCATAGATTATATATCATAAATCTATATAATTTGCGGAAAATATTTCAGAACTGTTAGCACATATTTGATGTTGATAACGTCTAGAAACTGTACGTTACTCTAATGATTTTTTTAGTTCCGGAATAGCATAAGATATTTAATATCAATTCAACTGAAGACAACGTTTAGATAACTTCTGGCCCCACAAGATGTCTATGCATATGTGATAAGCGTTCATAATTTATGTTGTCAAATCGAAAAAAAAAAAAATCATTTATCATCAGAAAAACATATTTAATATTTATACTCCGACAAAGTAAGCATTTCTGCTTCAATTTAACTTCATTTCTAGATCAGTTCTAGTTTCAGTTCTAGTTCAGTTCTAGTTCAGTTCTAGTTCTTCAGTTCAGTCTAGTTCAGTTCTAGTTCAGTTCTAGTTCAGTTCTAGTTCAGTTCTAGTTCAGTTCTAGTCAGTTCTAGTTCAGTTCTAGTTCAGTTCTAGTTCAGTTCTAGTTCAGTTCTAGTTCAGTTCTAGTTCAGTTCTAGTTCAGTTCTAGTTCAGTTCTAGTTCAATTCTAGTTCAGTCTAGTTTCAGTTCTAGTTCAGTTCTAGTTCAGTTCTAGTTCATTTCTAGTTCAGTTCTAGTTCAGTTCTAGTTCAGTTCTAGTTCAGTTCTAGTTCAGTCTAGTTCAGTTCTAGTTTAGTTCAGTTCTAGTTCAGTTCTAGTTCAGTTCTAGTTCAGTTCTAGTTCAGTTCTAGTTCAGTTCTAGTTCAGTTCTAGTTCAGTTCTAGTTCAGTTCTAGTTCAGTTCTAGTTCAGTTCTAGTTCAGTTCTAGTTCAGTTCTAGTTCAGTTCTAGTTCAGTTCTAGTTCAGTTCTAGTTCAGTTCTAGTTCAGTTCTAGTTCAGTTCTAGTTCAGTTCTAGTTCAGTTCTAGTTCAGTTCTAGTTCAGTTCTAGTTCAGTTCTAGTTCAGTTCTAGTTCAGTTCTAGTTCAGTTCTAGTTCAGTTCTAGTTCAGTTCTAGTTCAGTTCTAGTTCAGTTCTAGTTCAGTTCTAGTTCAGTTCTAGTTCAGTTCTAGTTCAGTTCTAGTTCAGTTCTAGTTCAGTTCTAGTTCAGTTCTAGTTCAGTTCTAGTTCAGTTCTAGTTCAGTTCTAGTTCAGTTCTAGTTCAGTTCTAGTTCAGTTCTAGTTCAGTTCTAGTTCAGTTCTAGTTCAGTTCTAGTTCAGTTCTAGTTCAGTTCTAGTTCAGTTCTAGTTCAGTTCTAGTTCAGTTCTAGTTCAGTTCTAGTTCAGTTCTAGTTCAGTTCTAGTTCAGTTCTAGTTCAGTTCTAGTTCAGTTCTAGTTCAGTTCTAGTTCAGTTCTAGTTCAGTTCTAGTTCAGTTCTAGTTCAGTTCTAGTTCAGTTCTAGTTCAGTTCTAGTTCAGTTCTAGTTCAGTTCTAGTTCAGTTCTAGTTCAGTTCTAGTTCAGTTCTAGTTCAGTTCTAGTTCAGTCTAGTTCAGTTCTAGTTCAGTTCTAGTTCAGTTCTAGTTCAGTTCTAGTTCAGTTCTAGTTCTAGTTCTAGTTCAGTTCTAGTTCAGTTCTAGTTCAGTCTAGTTCAGTTCTAGTTCAGTTTTAGTACAGCTCTAGTTCAGTTCTAGTTCAGTTTTCAGTTCAGTTCAAGTTCAGTTATAGTTTAGTACTAGTTGTAGTACAGCTGTATTTCAGTTCTAGTTCAGTTTTAGTTTCAATTCTTAAAGTATTATTTCCGATTGGTTCATCATTGGTACAATTCTAGAGCACCACTGGATCTAAAATTTGTTGTTGCCTAGTGTGGTAAGTAACTGAAGGTACTTTGCTATATTTATTGCGAGTCATTTGCTAGAATGATTTACGGCTACTGCAGAACAATATGTTTACTCTTGTTCATGCAAATCGACAAGTTCGACTTGATGTGCATTGCGGACGAATCTTATAGATAAGAAGTTTGCTTTCTTGAATCAAGTTAAATAGGCTAATATTAAATTATTGTGATTTTATGATCATTGTGGTATTTTAAAAACAGACCTATATTGAGTTAGTTGTGTGAAAAAATAAACAGAATAATAACTGAAAAGATGATAGATAATATAGAGCTGGAAGTCGGTATTAAACCCTTCCTTAAGCCAGCTGAAAATTACTACTCCTGCTCTCTACATGAGGCAGTAAAACTTCTGGAGTATAAAGAAAGCCCTGGCGAGCGTAGTGTTAAAACTGTACCTCAATTTTTCAAAGACTGTTGTTCAAAATATAAAAATTTACCTGCTTTGGCTTATGAAACTTCTCTAGAGAACTCTGCTGGTAGCAGCGAATGGACATATGTTACTTATGGCGAATATGAAAAAAACGTGGAACAGGCTGCTTTAATACTACTACACCTGGGTGTTCAAGCTCATTCTAGCGTTGCTATTTTGTCATCTAATTGTCCCGAATGGTTTTATATGGAATTGGGTGCTTTACGTATTGGTGCTGTTGTGGCTGGTATTTATACCAGTAATTCAGCAGAAGCTGTTTATCATGTACTGGAGACTTCAGAGACTTCTGTGTGTTTAGTGGATGATGCTCAGCAAATGTCCAAAGTTCGAGAGGTTAAATCACGTTTAAAACATTTGACCGCAGTTGTTCAACTGAGTGGACCTTTTGAGGAATTTGTTGATAAAGAACCGGGCTATTACAGCTGGAAGGGTTTGTTCGAAATGCAATTCAGTTCGTCCCTATCTGAAGAGTTGCTGTTACGTGAGCATAATGTGGCGGCCAATGAATGTGCTCTTTTGGTATTTACGGTAAGTTGCTGCTCCAACCTTTAAACTGACTCATTCTTTCATTTCCTTTAATTTTTTATAGTCTGGTACCGTTGGCCTACCTAAGGGCGTTATGATTTCACATGAAAATTTATTATTTGGCGCCCACTCTTAATTAAAGACTTGCCTTTTCTGCAAGATAACCAACAAATCGGTGTCAGCTATTTGCCTTTAAATCATATTGCTGCTCAATGCTTTGATATGTTTGTGGCCATTGAAAATGGTTTTCTCATGTATTTTGCCGATCGTAATACTCTTAAAGGTTCAGTGGGAAAAATTTGTGGCAGAACAAAGGCCACTTTAGTGTTTGGTGTGCCTCGGGTATATGAAAAATTACAGGAAAATGTTATAAAAAACGAAGCAAACTCTTGGATTCTTGGCAGAATTCTAATGAATGTAGTTCGCAAAGTAATGGAAAATTATCACTTGGATAAAATGTCTAATAAGAACCCCTCAGAGTTAAAATATTGGCTGGCTTCAAAATTTGTTAATAAAATCAAACATTCTATAGGCTTGGGCCATATCAAGTGGTGTTTTGTGGGTGGAGCCCCTGTAACTGAGGAGGCCAAGAAATTCTTTTTGAGCATAGATCTACCTCTAATAGATATTTTTGGTATGTCTGAGACCGGTGGTCCAGCTACTTATAATTTTGCTAGACCCAACCTTAAAACCGTGGGAAAAGCTATCGAAGGCGTTGAAATCAAAATAGATAGTCCTAATGAAAACGGAGAGGGAGAGGTTTGTTTGTCATACTTTTTATAATAGAAAATATTAATAATTTTTTTTAACCCTCAAATATAAGATTTTGCTGCGCGGTCGGTGTAACTTTATGGGCTATTTAAAGGATCCGGAGAAAACTAAGGAAACTTTGACTTCAGACTGCTGGCTTAGAACTGGTGATATGGGTTATGTTGATGAGGAGGGAAACCTTTATATAAGTGGCCGCTTAAAGGAGATAATCATAACAGCAGGTGGGGAAAATATACCTCCTATTCACATAGAAGAATTGGTTAAACAGGAATTACCCTGCGTCAGCAATGCGGTGGTTATAGGAGATCATCGGAAATATCTCACTGTGTTGTTAACTTTAAAGGTTTGTAGACTGTAGACCAGTCTGAAGACTAGAATGTAGACTATACCATAGACTATAGACTAAACTATAGACTAGACAATAGACTCCACAATTGACTACACGATAGACTACAAGATAGACAAGACTATAGACTAGACTATAGACTTGACTGAAGACTTGAAACTAAAAACTAGACTATAGACTAGACCATAGACTAGACTATAGACTAGACTATGGACTAGACTATAGACTTGACTAAAGACTTGACTATAGACTAGACTATAGACTAGACTATAGACTAGACTATAGACTAGACTATAGACTAGACTATAGACTAGACTATAGACTAGACTATAGACTAGACTAGACTATGACTAGACTATAGACTAGACTATGACTAGACTATGACTAGACTATGACTAGACTATGACTAGACTATGACTAGACTATGACTAGACTATGACTAGACTATGACTAGACTATGACTAGACTATGACTAGACTATGACTAGACTATGACTAGACTATGACTAGACCATAGACTAGACTATAGACTAGACTATGGACTAGACTATAGACTTGACTAAAGACTTGACTATAGACTAGACTATAGACTAGACTATAGACTAGACTATAGACTAGACTATAGACTAGACTATAGACTAGACTAGACTATGACTAGACTATAGACTAGACTATGACTAGACTATGACTAGACTATGACTAGACTATAGACTAGACTATGACTAGACTATGACTAGACTATGACTAGACTATGACTAGACTATGACTAGACTATGACTAGACTATGACTAGACTATGACTAGACTATGACTAGACTATGACTAGACTATGACTAGACTATGACTAGACTATGACTAGACTATGACTAGACTATGACTAGACTATGACTAGACTATGACTAGACTATGACTAGACTATGACTAGACTATGACTAGACTATGACTAGACTATGACTAGACTATGACTAGACTATGACTAGACTATGACTAGACTATGACTAGACTATGACTAGACTATGACTAGACTATGACTAGACTATGACTAGACTATGACTAGACTATGACTAGACTATGACTAGACTATGACTAGACTATGACTAGACTATGACTAGACTATGACTAGACTATGACTAGACTATGACTAGACTATGACTAGACTATGACTAGACTATGACTAGACTATGACTAGACTATGACTAGACTATGACTAGACTATGACTAGAGACTATGACTAGACTATGACTAGACTATGACTAGACTATGACTAGACTATGACTAGACTATGACTAGACTATGACTAGACTATGACTAGACTATGACTAGACTATGACTAGACTATGACTAGACTATGACTAGACTATGACTAGACTATGACTAGACTATGACTAGACTATGACTAGACTATGACTAGACTATGACTAGACTATGACTAGACTATGACTAGACTATGACTAGACTATGACTAGACTATGACTAGACTATGACTAGACTATGACTAGACTATGACTAGACTATGACTAGACTATGACTAGACTATGACTAGACTATGACTAGACTATGACTAGACTATGACTAGACTCTGACTGCTATGACTAGACTATGACTAGACTATGACTAGACTATGACTAGACTATGGACTAGACTATGACTAGACTATGACTAGACTATGACTAGACTATGACTAGACTATGGACTAGACTATGACTAGACTATGACTAGACTGACTAGACTAGACCATGACCTAGACTATGACTAGACTATGACCTATGACTAGACTATGACTAGACTATGACTAGACTATGACTAGACTATGACTAGACTATCACTAGACTATGACTAGACTATCACTAGACTATGGACTAGACTATGACTAGACTACACACCAGCTGAGCCTTTTAGAGGTTATGAATTGTTTGCTTTTTTGTTAATCATTTATACATTTTTGACTTCAGACTGATTTCGATCCCGATACCGGTTACCCTTTAGACTTCCTCAGACCAGAGGCCAAAGAATGGTTACAGTCCTTAAACTTGCATTATACCAAACTGTCAGAAGTGCTTAATATAAGCTTGCCCGAAAATTTAGAAGATTTTGATCCCAATTCTGTGGAAATCAAATGTGATGCCAAAGTGTTGCAGGCTTTGGAGGAGGGAATTAAACGTTACAATAAACAGGCCATTTCTAGTGCACAAAAACTTCAATATTTTTCGGTTTACCGCATGATTTTTCGATACCTACAGATGAGTTGGGTAAGTGGTGACTTAGAATGAGTTTATTTTTTAATTATTAATTTTTATGTGTTTATTTTATAGGACCCACTTTGAAGATCAAGAGAAGTGTTGTTTATAAGAAGTATAATAAGTTTATAGAGAAAATGTATGCCAAATAGTGGATAAAGATATGATTTAATTATATTTGATATACCTTTTTGGGGTTTATTTCTACTCCATTTAAGAATATTCTCTCTCATTTATGTTCAAATTTATTATACTGCTAATATAATTTTGATTTAATTATGGTTTATATTACAAATGGTTTTTTAATTGCCAAGTGTTTGTTGCTTTTTTTCTTTCGTTTTATATTTTTCTTTCTTCTACTTCCTTTGGACATTTCTTACTGACTTTCATAATAGTTTTGTACAAATTAAACTTAATTTTTTAACAATTTGCCAACAGAATGAAAAAAAAAATCGCAAAAATGAAATAGAAATCCCCCAACAAACTTGTAATCTTTATAGTCTGAAACGAAAAAAAGTAAGAAAAAATTTTACAGTGGGATGCACAACAACAAATATTGATAGTTTGGTGAATTTAGTCTGGATATAGTGTCTAGGGGTGTAAACCTAGGGGTGTAAACCTACTCTAGTTCCAAGAAATCGCTAGCAAATTTGCATTGTGGTGATCTTGAAGAGTAAAACTAGTTTGTCAAACAGTCAATAAACTAGTTCTCAGGGATCTTAGAGAATGTAGAACCTTCATCTTTCAATAACATTTAATCTTCCACACTGTTCTTCAAAATAAAAGAATAAATAAATACTGCAATAAAAATCCCAGCAAAACAAACAATTTCCCTCCAAAAAAAATAAAAGAAAATTCCAAAAAAAAAGAAAAATCTTTCAACAACTTTATTTACTCAAGTATTGCAAACTAAGTAAGAGTGTAAGTAAGCATATGTACCAAAGGGGAGATAGAGGGCGTCAACAGTAACGAAAAACTAAAATCTCAGTCCATTGTTAAATATGTTGTAATAATAAAAAGAAAAAACCCAAACGGAAACAAACATGCAACTATTCTTTTCTTTCTTGTAGAGTTTTCTTACAACATTTTAAGCCTGCAGCAGCAATTGTTGCAACATTAAGAAAAACTTTTGGGCATATTGCCAATTGCAGGCCTAAAGTTGTTGCTGCTGCAATGCAACATTGGCTGCTTTTGAAAAGCAATGAATGAATAAATATATGAGTGAATGTAAGCAGAATATGTTAACAAATTTTACTTTAACTAAACATCATCAAATGTAATAAAATGAAAATAAAAATTGTAGAATTTGTAAGAAAAATACCAGTTAAATTTATTCTTTGCATTTTCAACAAATTAAAGAATAAACGTACAAGTTGTTATATTTGTTAAAAAAAATTTTATTTTTTTTTTGTTAGTTAATAATAGGGTTAAAAATTGTTGGTACTTAAGGGTTTTAAGATACCATATATGCATGTTGATTGTTGGCAGCAGCAACAAATAAAAAAATAAAAGAAGTTAATTTAAAATTTGATTATGAGTAGTTTATATTTTGGAAAAATATTGCAAAAGAGGGTCATATTTATGTTTGTATTTGTTAATGAAAGTAAATTGAATTATGATGCAAAATAAATTATGAAAAAATTAATAGAAACAAAACTGAACTAAAACTGACCAGTACTGAGCTAAAACTAAACTAAAACTAAACTAGAACTGAACAAAAACTGAACTAGAACTGAATTAGAACTGACTAGAACTGAACTAGAACTGAACTAGAACTGAACTAGAACTGACTAGAACTGAACTAGAACTGAACTAGAACTAGAACTGAACTACGAACTGAACTAGAACTGAACTGAACTAGGAACTGAACTAGAACTGAACTAAACTAACTAGAACTGAACTAGAACTGAACTAGAACTGAACTAGAACTGAACTAGGAACTGAAACTAGAACTGAACTAGAACTGAACTAGAACTGAACTGAACTAGACTGAACTAGAACTGAACTAGAACTGAACTAAGAACTGAACTAGAACTGAATCTAGAACTGAACTAGAACTGACTAGAACTGAACTAGAACTGAACTAGAACTGAACTAGAAACTGAACTAGAACTGAACTAGAACTGAAACTAGAACTGAACTGAAAACTGAAACGAGAACTGAAAACTAGAACTGAACTATGAACTGAACTAGAACTGAACTAGAACTGAACTAGAACTGAACTAGAACTGAACTAGAACTGAAATAGGAACTGAACGAGAAATGACTTGACTAGAACTGAACTAGAACTGAACTAGAACTGAACTAAACTGAAACTAGAACTGAACTGAACTGAACTAGAACTGAACTAGAACTGAACTGAAACGGAACTAGAACTGAACTAGAACTGAACTAGAACTGAACTAGAACTGAACTAGAACTGAACTAGAACTGAACTAGAACTGAACTAGAACTGAACTAGAACTGAACTAGAACTGAACTAGAACTGAACTAGAACTGAACTAGAACTGAACTAGAACTGAACTAGAACTGAACTAGAACTGAACTAGAACTGAACTAGAACTGAACTAGAACTGAACTAGAACTGAACTAGAACTGAACTAGAACTGAACTAGAACTGAACTAGAACTGAACTAGAACTGAACTAGAACTGAACTAGAACTGAACTAGAAATGAACTAGAACTGAACTAGAACTGAACTAGAACTGAACTAGAACTGAACTAGAACTGAACTAGAACTGAACTAGAACTGAACTAGAACTGAACTAGAACTGAACTAGAACTGAACTAGAACTGAACTAAAACAGAACTAGAACAGAACTAGAACAGAACCAGAACTGAACTAGAACTGAACTAGAACTGAACTAGAACTAGAACTGCACTAGAACTGAACTAGAACTGAACTAGAACTGAACTAGAACTGAACTAGAACTGAACTAGAACTGAACTAGAACTGAACTAGAACTGAACTAGAACTGAACTAGAACTGAACTAGAACTGAACTAGAACTGAACTAGAACTGAACTAGAACTGAACTAGAACTGAACTAGAACTGAACTAGAACTGAACTAGAACTGAACTAGAACTGAACTAGAACTGAACTAGAACTGAACTAGAACTGAACTAGAACTGAACTAGAACTGAACTAGAACTGAACTAGAACTGAACTAGAACTGAACTAGAACTGAACTAGAACTGAACTAGAACTGAACTAGAACTGAACTAGAACTGAACTAGAACTGAACTAGAACTGAACTAGAACTGAACAGAACTGAACTAGAACTGAACTAGAACTGAACTAGAACTGAACTAGAACTGAACTAGAACTGAACTAGAACTGAACTAGAACTGAACTAGAACTGAACTAGAACTGAACTAGAACTGAACTAGAACTGAACTAGAACTGAACTAGAACTGAACTAGAACTGAACTAGAACTGAACTAGAACTGAACTAGAACTGAACTAGAACTGAACTAGAACTGAACTAGAACTGAACTAGAACTGAACTAGAACTGAACTAGAACTGAACTAGAACTGAACTAGAACTGAACTAGAACTGAACTAGAACTGAACTAGAACTGAACTAGAACTGAACTAGAACTGAACTAGAACTGAACTAGAACTGAACTAGAACTGAACTAGAACTGAACTAGAACTGAACTAGAACTGAACTAACTAGAACTGAACTAGAACTGAACTAGAACTGAACTAGAACTGAACTAGAACTGAACTAGAACTGAACTAGAACTGAACTAGAACTGAACTAGAACTGAACTAGAACTGAACTAGAACTGAACTAGAACTGAACTAGAACTGAACTAGAACTGAACTAGAACTGAACTAGAACTGAACTAGAACTGAACTAGAACTGAACTAGAACTGAACTAGAACTGAACTAGAACTGAACTAGAACTGAACTAAACTGAACTAGAACTGAACTAGAACTGAACTAGAACTGAACTAGAACTGAACTAGAACTGAACTAGAACTGAACTAGAACTGAACTAGAACTGAACTAGAACTGAACTAGAACTGAACTAGAACTGAACTAGAACTGAACTAGAACTGAACTAGAACTGAACTAGAACTGAACTAGAACTGAACTAGAACTGAACTAGAACTGAACTAGAACTGAACTAGAACTGAACTAGAACTGAACTAGAACTGAACTAGAACTGAACTAGAACTGAACTAGAACTGAACTAGAACTGAACTGGAACTGAACTGGAACTGAACTAGAACTGAACTAGAACTGAACTAGAACTGAACTAGAACTGAACTGAACTTGAACTGAACTAGAACTGAACTAGAACTGAACTAGAACTGAACTAGAACTGAACTAGAACTGAACTAGAACTGAACTAGAACTGAACTAGAACTGAACTAGAACTGAACTAGAACTAGAACTAAACTAGAACTGAACTAGAACTGAACTAGAACTGAACTAGAACTGAACTAGAACTGAACTAGAACTGAACTAGACTGAACTAGAACTGAACTAGAACTGAACTAGAACTGAACTAGAACTGAACAGAACTGAACTAGAACTGAACTAGAACTGAACTAGAACTGAACTAGAACTAAACTAACTGAACTAGAACTGAACTAGAACTGAACTAGAACTGAACTAGAACTGAACTAGAACTGAACTAGAACTGAACTAGAACTGAACTAGAACTGAACTAGAACTGAACTGAACTGAACTAGAACTGAACTAGAACTGAACTAGAACTGAACTAGAACTGAACTAGAACTGAACTAGAACTGAACTAGAACTGAACTAGAACTGAACTAGAACTGAACTAGAACTGAACTAGAACTTAACTAGAACTGAACTAGAACTGAACTAGAACTGAACTAAGACTGAACTAGAACTGAATTAGAACTGAACTAGAACCGAACTAGAACTGAACTAGAACTGAACTAGAACTGAACTAGAACTGAACTAGAACTGAACTAGAACTGAACTAGAACTGAACTAGAACTGAACTAGAACTGAACTAGAACTGAACTAGAACTGAACTAGAACTGAACTAGAACTGAACTAGAACTGAACTAGAACTGAACTAGAACTGAACTAGAACTGAACTAGAACTGAACTAGAACTGAACTAGAACTGAACTAGAACTGAACTAGAACTGAACTAGAACT